GATGGGAGCCGGGTCCTTGTAGAAAACTGTTCATCATGTCTTCCAGTAATCATCCCACCCCGACATCGGCGTAGCGCCAACACCCCCGGACATCGGCGGAACGCATGGTGGACTCAATGTATGATGTATAAAAAGAACGCATCGCCAAACTTGCGGATATCAGCGGGACACATGACCCAACCCACCGCTCCTACGAGGATCTCTCCACTCTGTTTAAAAGACTGGCTCTTTTGAACAGTTCTTTGATGTGAATGGCTAGTTTATGAACTGCTCCCTTCAAAGAGTCATAGGTTTTAATGACAAACGAACTGACAATATTCACTTGTGACACTATAAACCCATATAAGGTAATAGCTGTTTGGAAAGGAAATCTAGTTCAAAGTTCAAACCAAAGGAATGAATGAACAAATATAACTGTCAGTTTCTTTCTGATAAACAATCAGTTGTACCTGTATGGGTTGAAAACATCTTTCCTAATGTTCTCATTTATGCTCCCTGTGGACGCAGAGTCAACTTCTTGTTTGGTGCAGTGTTGCTGTAGCTTTTGTAGAGTGGGAAAAGTCTCACCACAGGTCAGACCTTTGTCGCTGGAGTCTGCTAGTATGGAGGTATGTATGTAAGGTAAGTGATGCTAACATGATAGGGAGTGTTAGTTGATTAGTTGCCTGCAGTATTAACAGGAGAGGATGTGCAAAGTCATTGCTGCTGCTGCATTGAAATCCACTAGTCCGGAGCGAGTCAAAACCCAAGTTACTGCGTATTTTGTATCCAAAGGCTGTTGTATATTCATAATGCTTCCTCCCCTGATCAAATATCTATTTTAAAATTATTGCAAGTTATCCAGTTGTCCTGCTTTCTTGTCAAATATAACCAAACTTTCGAGCGTTTGTGACCACTTAGACACCATGTTACCTGCTTCCGTAAGCTTTCAAAGTGCGCAGTGATGTCATTTGCACTAACTGGAATTGATAAGGGGAATCGTTTGCAAAAGTGGTGAACAATTCCTAGGAATAGAAAAAATGGGAACCGGTTCTCAATAAGAACTGGTTTTTGTTAGGTAGATTACTAATCAGTCTTTTTTTTTTTTCAATGAGTCAACTATTTTAAATTGACATCTTCTTACTGTGGATTAATCCAGTTGATAGTAAATGACCTGTATTTGATCTAGCGCTTTCTAGAGTCCTGGAACCACCCAAGGTGCTTTACAACATAATCAGTGAATCACACATATTCACGCCCTGGTGGTGATGAGCTGCATTGTAGCCACAGCTGTCCTGGGGCAAGCTGACGGAGGCGAGGCTGACGAGCACAGGTGCCACCAGTCCCTCCGAACACCACCAGCAGGATAGGTGGGTTAAGTGTCTCACCCAAGGACATAACAAGAGCGGCAGACTGAGAGGGGCTCAAACCTGCAACCTCCCAATTATGGGGCGAGCACTTAATTCCTCTGCCACTGTCGCCCGGTGTTTAACTTCACCTGCTTGAATCTGCATATCTGTGAATTTTCCCTTTTAAAATCTTAGTTGTTCCATTTTGTCAAAAGTACTTTACTGGCTTTTTGGAAACTTCAAAACAATGGTAAAAGCACATTTGCAGCTAGATCAGCCATAGAATGGGAAATAACTTTGATTAAGTTATACACAAAATATCTTAGACCATTTCAATGTATGATCATTTACGTCACACAATAACAGCTTCCTATACCTCCATCATGTAGTTTCCTGCTTCTGTGGCTCAAACGTTTCTTCAGCTGATTAGAACAAAACAATTAGACCTTTAATCTTCTGCATGCTAGTCTGAAGCAGCCATTGATGCTGTCTCTTGTTGAAAACATCAGCAGCTCTCCTGATTGGGTTCTGTCATGGCTGCTGGCAAAAATGCTGTCAAATAAAATGCGTTAACACTTTGGTTGTGTCCAACAGATTTATATTGCGTGTACTTCACTCAAGCAAAATGCTGTTGTTGTCTCCTGTGGCGATTCACTTGCAAGCTGAGCATCATGCTCTGTAAAGTGGTATCAGTTCCATGGTGCAAGAGCCCTTTTATGAGTTCAAGCACAAGTAAATAGACAGAGTATCAGACCAGATCCTATTGAAATGGGGGAATCCGAGTTTAAAGTGTTGAGTAATCCAATTAAATAAAAACCAATCTAGAATTCTAAATATTGCTGGTATACTTTTTTTTTATAAATAAAGATGACCATGCCCATGCCAGCTACTTTAGAGAGAAAATAAAGCAGAATACTGAAGACAGAAATTCAGTCATACATGTAAAAATAACTGTGCAAATGAGATGACCCTTTATACCTGTAAAATCTAAAACAATATATTTATCGGTCCACTTATTATCAATTTATATTTTTGCTTTGATTTAACATTTCCTTTGCCAATATGAACATATTTTCCCTCCAAAATGTTTTTGGGACTACAGGACTACAACTGCAAGGACCACAAATTTGTCCGGACCAATCAAAATCGTCAGCGTAACTTTTACAAATGTGGTACCGTAACATCTGTTAAGTCCTGCGTTCAGCCAATCATCTGTTGTGACTAGGGCTGAAATCAATCATCGAATGATTAGAATGGTTTGATTTATTAAAGTCCTCGAACTCAAGCAAGCCGTTGTTGCATGTAATTCACAAACACTTCTACATTTTAATTGAATTTAGACTGGATTATGTTGCCAACTCATACATTTAAAATAAATATGCCACCATTTCATAGTTACTAAATTAAATATTAGTAACATTTCCAGTAGCTTACTACTGAACATGTTAAAGAAATTTGTGAATTTATTTAGATATGTGTAGACACGGATAAGTGATAATAAACCAAATATTTTAATCAAATGTTCCATAAATGTATTTATTATATTTAAATATCAGCTTGGAAGGCAGAAAGTAGAAGCTTGGAAGGCAGAAAGTAGATGGCACCAATTTGATACGTTGTTGATTCTTTTATAATTTTGTTGTTTAATTTTTACATTTTTAGCAGCACACCATAATCTCGTTTCACGTGTCATCAAATAGAATATCCAATTAATCGATGGAGGATTCCATAAAATATCTGAATAGCAAAATAGCTGCAGCCCTAAGTGTGACGTCATTGGCAGGCGTAGAACCCATAGCCGATCTGTCAGCCAAAAGAGATACGGTGCCTAAAACAATGTTGTTTTTGTCCAAGAAACAAAGAAAATAGAGGCACATGTTAAAATGAAACTATGCCATTGTTATTGCAATTGAAAAAATATCTCAAGATTAATTTAAGAGTCGTGTTTGTTGTTTTAACAGGTTAAATCTGCTATTCCCCCCCGTTTCTGATCATTTTAAAATCACGTGATCTGGCCTGATTTCCGATTATAGTTCAAAGCATCCCCAACTGTTAGCTGTGTGTGGTGTCGTATCCACACACACAGCTAAAGATCTACGTGACAATGCATACATATCATCATCTTTTCAAGAACGAATACAAAATTGAGAGCTGTTTGTGTAAGATTAATTTCTTGTTATATAAAAAAAATCTGTCCCAAATATTCCCACAGTTTTTATCTTACAGTGCGTCTAAAAAGACATAACTCAAATCCAACTATTAAAGGCCATTAAAGCTCTTTTTCTTCTTCCATGGCAGGCAATCATCCACCGAAAGAGTGAAGCAGCAAATTTGCTAGCTGGCTGACTGGGAGGACAGAGAGGCCTTTCTCACCAGTCAACGGCTGTCCTTAATGAGAATAGAAAGTGATTTACTAGCTTAATGCTCCAGCCCTCAGCCTGCCTGCCTGGCAGCCTTTTGCTTCGCGAAGCCAGTTCAGACCACAATCTTCATACAGGGAATGAAAGTGAGAGCACTGAGCTAGGAAAAAAGGCATCATGGCAAGCCCACTGTCCGAAAACTGCGGTAATGAGACGTTGTCATGAATTCTCAGAACCCGTATCCCTGACCCCGTCAGAGTGCTGTTTGAATTTCCTTTGTTTTGTCCAGGTTTCTATCAGCCTGTGCCAATGGGGTCCATCTGGAATGACTGTTAATTGTATAACATTGTGCAACTGTTGGGTTTCAATTCATCTTGAGTAGCTAAAAGCATTTAACAGGCTCTGCAGACTCTGTAAATGTACCAGTGCACGGCCATAAAAAGCAACCTCTTTTCACCGGTAAAGGGAAAAGCAGGGGGGGGGGGGGGGGTTTGCCATCCACAAAAAATATCAAAAGCAAGGTAAGCAAGTTCCTTTTATATGAAATCTGCTCCTCTTGCAAAGCAAACGTGTTTTGTCAGAGAGAAAAAGGCAGACATAGCCTACTTCCCTGCTATCATGTCCTTTGTGATTATCCAGTCAGTGACGCTACTCCCCGGACCATTTCAGAGCCACTGGCTTTCACAGAGAACTCCAGATGACCTGTCAAAGACCGACGTTTGGACTGTGCTGATTCACTCGGTTATTATTTAGGGATGTGCACTAAAGTTACACACACAAAAATAAAATAGAATTCTCATGAGGGGGTTTCCCTTGACAGCTATGTAAACTTTATGCAGTCGCACCATCAGTGATGCATGCGTGTGTGCGAGAAATTACAAGCTCAAGTCAGAACAAATCCCTAATTTCATGCATGTTTGCAGGACTAAATTGCACTGCTTGATTGGGGCACGAGGCAGAGGGTACGCTTGGATTTTAAATTCATAATCGCATTGAACCACAAAGGAGGAAAGTCAGACAGAAACAGGGACAGTGGATAGTCACTTCATCATGAGTGACGATTTGTTGTGCTTCCAGAAGCAGCACTTTACTGTTTAAGTGGGGGAAAGAAGAGCTGACATCCTTACACCTGGAATGCTGGGTGCATTTCAGTCTGGATTATGATTTAAATAAAGAAATTATGAAATCTAGAGCAAGAACTACTTGAGTACCAGATTTTAGGAACTGTGGTGCTTTTTTTTCTTTCTTTTTTTATGTGCAGCAAGCATCATCATGGAGGGCAAACACAGGATAGAACCACAACAGTTCTTACCGAGTGTGAAGTAGGGAAGAGCTGTGTTGTCAAGATCATCCATTACAGAAATTCGCCCAGGTAGGTCTGTTCTAACGAATAACAAGAGTCGGGATTCACCCCCTCCTGCTGCTCCTCCTCCACCAGCACCACCTTCTCCTCCTCCTCCTCCAGCGGCAGCGGCGGCGGCGGCAGCGCTCCCTCCTCCGGCTACGTTCCCCGAGGCTCCGCCGGTGAAGCTGAACTCGTTCTCCCGGAGCACCGGCAGGGTAGAGACGGTGACGGTTTTCAACTCGCACGGGGTCTCCGCGTCGCTCTCTCTGTCCCGGTCCTCATCAGGCGACGTAGCTCCTTTGCTCGGCCGGACATGGACCCTGTCAGGGAGAGAGCCACGAGAAGGACGCGGACGTGCCGCGCTGCTATCCCCGCCATCCCGCTCCTGGTGTGTGGTTCTCTCGCTTTGAGTGGGGCTCATAAGCTGTCCGTTCACTTATAGTACAGTCGCTGCAAAGGAGTCGCGTCCGTCCAGGAGGCGGCAGCACAGGTGTAGAGAGAATGTCATCTTTCATCCATGTCTGCGTGCACACAGAAATGCACACGCACCACTTATCTCAGGTTAGCACGTGCCGCTTCAGAGGATATCAACTGGAACTTTTCTCTTTCAGATATAAATCAGCGGAGTAATCCGCTTTCAAAGAACATTCGGGGTTAATATTTTTATTCGAGGTCTAAAATATATTTGCATTTCATTGAATTTTCATTTTAAAATATTTGTAAATGATTAAATAAATCTTTTTAACTCCACTCATTATTTCTTCTGCCCTTCCAAATGTCAAATTAAGTCTACAAATCCAATTAAACGTGTTAAGGGAGAGGATTAGGGACACTAAAAAAAATTCTGACTTTTTATTCTCAGAATCATGTGATACAGTCAGGATTCTGAGATTAAAGTCAGAATTATGGGATTAAAATTAGAATTCTGACCTTAATACCAACATTCTGATTTTAATCCCAGAAGTCAGAATTCCGGCAATAAGATCAGAATTGTAAGATTAAAGTCAAAATTTTTAGTAAAATCATAATTATGGGATTAAAGTCCGAATTCTGACCTTAATCCCAAAATTCTGACTTTAAGTCCAGAAGTCATAACTCTCTGATTGAAATCAGAATTGTGAGATTAATGTAATAATGTTTCTTTTCAGAGGCTCTTCCATAACTTGTAGTATAAATTTTAGATTATTTATAAGTATTTCAAAATAAAATTAAAAAGCATCAATTGAAATAAAAATGTACATAAAACATCAAAGACACCTACAAAAACGTTTTTGTTTGTTTTTATTTGAATACGCTTTAAGTTCCAATAAACATTTCCCCCTCTGATGACAGAAAATTAAAATATAGCAGCAGTTTTAAATCTTTATTTTCTTTTTTAATTTTAAAGCCAAAAAAAGTGATTTTCTCTGCAGGGGAGGTAAGGTGGTTTGTACACTATAACACAATCTAAACAAATGTGGGTTTGATCAAACCTAAAATGGTTAACTCTTATTACCTCAGATTATTATTTTCTGGTATTGTTCAGCCTCGGCAACAACACAGCCTCAACCTACCCTTGATATTTTTAGTGTTTCCTTTTGGTCTGATTTGCTTAATGCTGTGTGTAATTTTCTGGATTGCCCTGTCTTTAGAACACTAGACCATGCTTTCCTGGTATTACAGAATGCCCCCCCCCCCCCCCCCCCCCCCCCCCCCCCCCCCCCACACACACACACACACGGCAGGTAAGAGAGAGGTGTTCTGCTTCACGGGGTGCGTTAGGTAAATCGTTCCTGGATGCCACTCCACGACACAACAGAATAAACATGCTTCAAGCTGTGGCTGGTTTTTACGTCCACTATACCACAAAGCTGTAACCACACGTTTGCAAGTTCATACATTAAACGTCCTTATTTACTAAAACTTCCATTTTCAAATTTAATCCCAGCTCTGTGATTTCCTTTCATTTTTTCTCCACTTTTGATGTCCTCTATTTATTTCTCAAACTTGCACAGCAGCTTTATTCATCAGCACACCAAATAAATCATGCAAAATCTCCTTACATAGTGTAAATGATTATTTATGGAAATGTATCATTTATCACTTTTCTCTTCTTAGGTTACTGCTTACACCTGCTTCGAATTGATATGAAGACGAGGCATATTCTCACTTTTTTTTGTCTCTGTTGGGGCTAACATATTCAAACACATTTTCTTTGTGTGCACTTTTCTTTGTGATTTGAGCACACCACCCCCATGTCATGCAAACATTCAATCTCAAGGTCTATCAGAAATCCACAATTCCAGTCATGAGTAATGAGGTGAATGTTCACATGTTACTGGGTGAGCGGGAATATATTTTATCACTACAAAAGGCAGAGCAAGCCCACAGTTCCTGGAATCTGTGCTGTCCATGCATGGACGTAATTTTCACTTTAGAAGTGGAGAGGACAGGGGGGGGGGGGGGGGGGGGGGGGTTGTAGCTTTACAGTATGTTCTAATGGGAAACAGGCTTCAACACAAACGGTTGTTTTCCGCTTGGTCCTAGAGCTCAACCAGTGTCAGTTTAATATAGCGTAATATTGTTTTTGGATGGTAAAAAGTGCAGGGGTTAAAACTTGACTTTGGAAAAAAAAAAGGGGGGGGGGGCATGGTTCCCCTCCCCCAAATTACACTGTAAAAAAAGTAGGTCCAACTTTAAAAATTGCTTCAGTCGGTAACAAGCTATTTAATTAAGTTTATCCAACTTAAATTATTAGTACAATTTTAATTATTTAGGTTGGATAAACTTAATTAAATAGCTTGTTACCAATTGAAGCAATTCAATTAGGTTGATTAAACTATTCTCTTTTTTCAGTGTACATCCAGGCGTCCTAGACCACAATTTTCATAGAAACAGGCAAACAATGTGTAAATCTGTGCTTTATCCTGCTTTTCCTCTGCTAACACAGCTCTACTGTCATCACAAATAGACAAGTGGCAATCAAGAGAAAAAGGCCCAAACAAAAAAGGCTGTGAGAAAAATTCTAGCTAAATTTATTGGATTACTCTAAAACTCAATCATGCAAGTTTTTGCAAAGCTGTAGACTTTTCAAAATGTCAGTTATTCAACTGCACACTCCTTAGTTCATGTCTGCTTTTTGCAGATGTAATGCTTCTGTTGGAGGTGGGTACGATGGTCAGCTCTTCCAAATCTGAGGAGATGGGTTTCAACTGGAAAAGTGGTAGAATTGTTCTTCATGGTTGGGAGGGGGCTGTCCAAAAGAGAAGTTCAAGAATCAAAGTGTTTTGTTTACACGTGCTGGTTTGATGGTGTGTGAGATGAACCAACAAATCTGAGTTTTGTCCACAATAGTGATGGTCTTACTCAAGTTTTTTATGGTAAAAAAGAAGTTTTGCGGAATGGAGAAGTATTTGATTTACTGGTTTGTCTATGTCCCGATTGCCATGAGATTTAAATTATGACCCCAAAAAATAATATCCCAATATTAGAGGCTAACATGAGCTTTTCTCCATGGTGTGGCCAGGCTCAGCCTTAGACATAAGGCGAGGAGCTCTGTTACCTAGATCAGTGGTTCCTAACCTGGAGTCCATACCATAGCAAGTTTATTTCTATAGCACATTTAATAGCAGCATGACAGCTGACCAAAGTGCTGAACAAAACTGCAAGATACAACAATTATAAAAACATAAAAAAAAACTGCACAAAAAAATTAAACAGTGAGATACAATGATAAAATCAGCATTCAAAAGCAAGAATAAAGTCATAAAAAGGGACTTCAAACGAGCTAGAGATGGGGTCTGCCTCACGGTGGCAACCTGGAGTCCATGACCCCCAAAGGGTCACCACAAGACTGCAGGTGGTCCCCACAATGCATCCCCATCTGTGCCAAGGTTGTGAGGTTACCAGGATTATACCCAAATATTACATTTATAAAATCACAACAACACACCCAATAGTATAATCTGTATGGGTTATAACTCCACATGAGTGTGTATTATTTCTGCTTAACCAATTTTAATATGTGTATTCAGGTGGGGAGTGGGGTTGGGGTCCTGGACTTGTCTTGGGAACAGGCAAGGGGGTCCTTAGGGAATAAAGGTTAGGAACCACTGGCCTAGAGAGACATTAGCATGAGGCATCTTCTCATTTTCACTGAAAGAAGAACATTGAGGTGATTCAGGCATCTGACTAGGATAGCTTCTGGTCATCGTCCTCTGGAAGGGATTTCCCTAGGTACACCTTGTAATCATCCAGAAGCAAGTGGAGAGTGTCATTTGGGAGAGAAAGGTCTGGGCTTCTCTGGTTGCATCTGTTCTACTTTGTCCTGAACTTTGATAAGTTGTGAAAAATGGATGGAAGGACAAATTGGTGGATGGATGGATTGGATGATTAATAAAGGCTTCAGCCACCCATTCACAGGAATAACTATTTGGTGCCGACTTTCTCTTTATGCAAAGTGATATTCAAGGCTGTTGACTTGCATCCCATAAATCCCAGTCTCGTTGGTAACAAGCCTACACTGATCAGCCATAACTGACATATTAATCGAGTACATCTTATTTCAACCCAATCTTGTGTTGTAGAAACATGCATCGTGTCACTCACATGAATGCAACGTTGACACTTGCCTTCTACTTAGAGCCTAATGAGCTGTTTATTTACCCAGACCCTAAACTGGTAAAAACCACATGGATCTAAATCCATTCTACAGAGACCATCAACTACCCACGAGACCCAGAGGATCTGTTGTTACTGCCAGGGGACCAGACACCCCAGATGTTCTGTATAATCTCCCTGGCCAGTCTAACATTTACAATTTTAATTAAGCCTGGTTTCTTTAGTGGAAAAGCAAATAACAGCAAAACCACAAGCTAAGTATTTTTCATTTGCATGATAAGTATACCTCCCCTTATGGTTACAGTGTTTTTTACTCTGATCTTGTTTTTTCCAACCTTCAGCTATCCTGCTTTCAAATGTGAGTTATCTACTTTTAACCCTCTCAGGCTCAAAATAAGTTTTGATAAAAGGACGAACAACTAAGTTCTTCAGGGGTACTTCTGAGTTAAAACATGCTCATGAAAGACGTACGTGGAGTAACCAGGTAGGTAGGTTTTAACGTTGCTAATCTACAACACCTGCCTCCAGAGGGTTAATGTAGCTCATAAATCAGCCAATATCCTCTATTTAGGCTGCAGGCTAATATTGAGAAGTCCCGCATAATTAAGCAGTTTGTTTTCCATCACGTGTGATCTTTTTCCTGTACATTTCCTTCACTTGTCACTCAGCTGTGCTTCTGTCTCTTATGTAAAGTATTCTCTGTCAGCGTGTCTGTTAACAGTAACGGCACATCTCCTGTGCTGTTGTGAAGTATTAAAGCATTCCTATGACATGCCTCAGTAACATTTTGAAACATCTTGCCATACCGTCTTGCTGTCACCATCCTCATCATGACTATGCAGCTTGGTTTGCTTGTGGTGTTATTAAAGCATCAATGTTTCTGGAAGTTGTCAATTATTCTCTCTGTAGCATTTTAATTTTGGTTCACTGATTTTGTTTTTC